AAAAAATCACAGAAAAATAATGGAAAATCACAGGAAAATCATGGAAAAATCACAGAAAATCATGGAAAAATAATGGAAAATCACAGGAAAAAATCATGGAAAAATCACAGGAAAAATATGGAAAATCACAAAAAATCATGGAAAAATCACAAAAAATCATGGAAAAATAATGGAAAATCATTAAAAATCATGGAAAAATCATGGAAAATCACAGGAAAATAATGGAAAAATCATGGGGAAATAATGGAAAAATACAGGGAAAAAATTATGGAACAATCACAGGAAAAATAATGGAAAGATATGGAAAAATCATGGGAAAATCACAAAAAATCATGGAAAAATCACGGAAAAAATCACAAAAATAATGGGAAAATCATGTAAAAATACAGGAAAAAGCATGGAAAAATCATGGAAAAAAGAATGGAAAAATAATGGAAAATATCACAGAAAAATATGGGAAAAATCATAGAAAAATCACGGGAAAATGATGGAGAAAAAGGATGGAAAATCACAGAAAAATGATGGAGACCCCCCATCAAAGGCAGCAAAGGCTGTGGCGCCCCCCACTCACTCATCATGCGGTGCTGCCGCAGGACCTTGATGAAGTCGAAGGTGTTGAAGCCCAGCAGCAGCACGAGCTGGTTCTCACACTCGCGGTCATCGCTGGCCGTCTGCCACGACACAACACAGCACAGCACAGCACAGCACAGCTGGCACCCTGACACTGAAAACACACTGGAAACACTGAAAACACACTGGAACCACTGAAAACACACTGAAAACACTGAAAACACACTGGAAACACACTGGAACCACACTGGAAACACTGAAAACACACTGAAAACACACTGGAACCTCCAAAATCCCACTGAAAACACACTGAAACCTCCAAAATTACACTGGAACCACTGAAAACACACTGAAACCACACTGGAACCTCCAAAATCACACTGGAACCTCCAAAATCACACTGAAATCACACTGAAATCCCATTTAAACCACACTGGAACCTTCAAAATCACACTGAAAACACACTGAAATCACACTGAAACCTCCAAAATCTATTAAATCACACTGAAACCACACTGAAACCTCCAAAAATCCCATTGACTCACCATTAAATCACACTGAAACCTCCAAAATCCCACTGAAATCACACTGAAACCTCCAAAATCCCCATTCAATCACACCGAAATCCCATTGAAATCACACTGAAACCTCCAAAATCCCCATTCAATCACACTGAAACCACACTGAAATCACACTGAAACCTCCAAAAATCCCATTAAATCACACTAAAACCACACTGAAATCTCCAAAATCACACTGAAACCTCCAAAAATCCCACTGAAATCACACTGGAACCTCCAAAAATTCCGTTAAATCCCACTGAAACCTCCAAAATCCCATTGAACCACACTGAAACCTCCAAAATCCCATTGAACCACACTGAAACCTCCAAAATCACACTGAAACCTCCAAAATCACACTGAAATCACACTGAAATCACATTGAAACCTCCAAAAATTCAATTAAATCACACTGAAACCTCCAAAATCCCCATTAAATCACACTGAAATCTCCAAAATCCCACTGAAATCCCCATTGAAATCTCCAAAATCCCACTGAAATCCCCATTGAAATCTCCAAAATCCCCATTAAATCCCATTAAATCACACTGAAACCTCCAAAATCACACTGAAATCACACTGAAATCCCATTGAAACCACACTGGAACCTCCAAAATCACACTGAAATCTCCAAAATCCCCACTGAAATCACATTGAAATCCCATTAAATCACACTGAAATCTCCAAAATCCCCACTGAAATCACACTGAAATCCCATTGAAACCACACTGAAACCTCCAAAATCACACTGAAATCTCCAAAATCCCCATTCAATCACACTGAAATCCCATTAAATCACACTGAAATCTCCAAAATCCCCACTGAAATCACATTGAAATCCCCATTGAAATCACATTAATCCCCATTAAAATCCCATTAAAATCTCCAAAAATTCCCATTTAAAATCCCATTTAAATCTCCAAAAATTTACAATACAATCACATTAAAATCCCCATTAAAATTCACATTAAAACCCCATTAAAATCCCATTTCAATTCCCATCAAAATCCCATTAAAATCCCCATTTAAATCCCCATTAAAATCTCAAAAAAATCCCATTAAAATTCCCATCAAAATCTCCCAAAATTGCCATAGAAATCCCCCGAAATTCCTATAACAATCACAAAAATTCTCATAAAAATTCCCAAAAATGTCCCATAAAATTCCCATAGAAATCCCATTATTCCCAGGGTTTGGAGCCAGGGTTTGGGGTGGAAGAGGAAGGAAAAAAGGATTGGAAAAAGTCCAAAAAATCCCATAGAAATCCCAAAAAATTCCCATAGAAATCCCAAAAAATCCCTATAAAAAATCACAAAAATTCTCATTAAAATCCCAGAAAATATCCCAGAAAAATCCCATTAAAATCCCATAAAAACTCCATCGAAATCCCAAAAAATTCCCATAGAAATCCGCAAGAATTCCTATAAAAATCACAAAAATTCTCATTAAAAAAACCTCATAAAAGTAAAAAAAAATTCCCATAAAAACCCCCAAAAATTCCCATTAAAAAATCCCCAAAATTCCCATAAAAAATCCCCAAAAATTCCTACAAAATTCACAAAATTCTCATAAAAATCCCCAAAATTCAATTTTTCCCCAAAAACACGGGAACCAGGAAGGAACAGAGCCCATGGAGATGATCCCAGAGGGAAAAACAATCCCAAAAATTCAGTTTTTCCCTAAAAATATCAGAATTAGGAAGGGAACAGAGCCCAGGAAGTGATCCCAGAGGGAAAAACAATCCCAAAGCTAAAAAACCATCCTGGAGTCTCAAAAACAATCCCAAAAATTCAATTTTTTCCCCAAAAAACACGGGAATTAAAAGGGAACAGAGCCCATGGAGATGATCCCAGAGAGAAAATCAATCCCAAAAATTCAAGTTTTTCTCAAAAACATCAGAATTAGAAAGGGAACAGAGCCCAGGAAGTGATTCCAGGAGGAAAAAACAACCCTAAAAATTCAATTTTTTT